AACACAGCACACACACACACAAACAACACCACAAACACACAAACACAGCACACACACACACACACAACGACACACACACACACACACACACACACAACAAGGACACACACACACACAAACACAACACGACACACCACACACACACAGCACACAACACACACACACACACACACACACACAACAGGTGCCACACACAGGCACACACAACAAACAGCACAAACACACACACACACAGCACACACGACACACACAGCACACACACACAGCACACACAAACCACACACACATACACACGCACACACACACACAACAACAACAACAACAAGAACAAAAGGAAAAATTTAAGGCACGGTTAGCCTAACGCTGAAACCAATCCACTGACGCAGCACACACACACATACACACACACACACACACGCACACACCCACAGCACACACACACACCACACACACACACACACACACACACACAAAGGAAATTTAGGCGCACGGAACGCAAAACCTAAAACCAAAATTCACTGACGGCGCACACACAGCACACACACACACGACACACACACACACACAGCACACCCAACACACACAGCACGACACACACACACCACACACACAGCACACAGCACAAGTCACACACACACAGGAAGGAAATGTTAGGCCACGGAACCAACTGAAACCAAATGCCACTGACGCAGCCATACACACACACAGCACCACAGCACACACACACACAGCAACCACACACACACCACACACATACACACACACACATACACACAACACACACACAGCACACTACACACACACACACACACACACCACACAGCACACCAAGCGGCCAACACACACACCCACAGCAAAGGAAAGTTTAGGCCACGGGAACGCAAACCCTGAAACCAAATTCACTGACGCAGCATACACACACACACACACACACACACACACACACACACACAGTCCAGAAAGTCGACTCACACGACACACAGCACATCAGCACCACACACACACACAACACACACGACCACGACACACACACACCACACACACGCACACACACATCACACACAGTTACACACAGCAGCACCAGCGCACACGCAGACACAGACACAGCACACAGCACACACACAGCAGCAACAACACAACAACAACAAAAGGAATTTAGGCCACGGTAACCGAACCTAGAAACCAAATCCACTGACGGCACACACACAAGCAGGCACACACACACACGACCACACACAGGACTAGGCAACACAGCACAGCATGCACGCGAAAAAACAAAAAAAAACACCCCAGAGGGTTCTGTTTGGCTTTGGGCGAGCACCAAAGGCACAACGAAACACACATCATCCACGACGCGATGGGTTCGTGCGGTGATAGAGTTGGGCATACATCAGCGTATGCAGTGCATTATTCGCGGAGGTGCGGGAGTGTTCTTAGTGGTTGGGCGTAGGGTCGTTGATGGTGTGGTGTGCCGTCGGTGTGTATTTTTTCGCCCAGGTGTGTTCGTCGGAGACGGACAGGCGCACGTGTCGCACCGCGGATGTCATACACATCGACAGCCACTAATACGAGCTACGGCGGGGTGGAGGCACACGACGAAGACAGGGTGTCACTCGACACACACACACGACACACACCACACACACACCAGGGGTGGGCGCGTGAAGTGTGTGTGCGGCGCAGGGTGGGGGAGGCCAGGCGAACTAGAGCAATCAGGGGATTTATGTTTGCGAGGAGCAGTGAGACGCCATCTCACTTAAGCTTACGATAAAAAGAAAGAAAAAAAAAAATAGGCCAAAGAAGCAAACCGTGAAACCGCGAGCCACTAAGCGCTAGAAAAAAACAAAAAAAAAAAAAAAAAAAATTTAGGCCCACGGGAACCAACTCTAAAAAAAAAATAAAAAAAAAAAAAAAAAAAAAAAAAAAAAAATTTAGGCCCAAGGAAGCGCAACCATGAAAAAATCGCACATCCAGCTAACCAAAAAAAAAAAAAAATACACAGTAATATAAATAAAAGAAATAAAAAAAATAAAATAAAATAAGAAGAAAATTGTAGGCCAAGGAACCAACCCTGAAACCGCGATCACAACACGCCACAAAAAAAGATTTAGGAATATTTTAGGCAACGGAACCAAATTAACGCCCAATATCACTTAAGCCCCCCCGCGGCCGCCTAAGAAACAGAAAATCTGAGGACGCAAGCTCTTCTAGATCGACTCCAATATCACCCCCCCCCCCGAAAAAAAAAAAAAGAGAAAAAAAAAATAGAAACGAAGATACAAATTGACTCGCAATGTCAAAGAATTTAAAAAATAAAAGAATAAATAAAGATAAATACAAATAAATAAAAAATTTGGGACCAAGATAGCTCAATATGCATAAAAATAGCAATAAAAATAAACAATGAATAAATAAATGAAATAAATAAATAAATACAAATAAAAAAATAGGACACAAGATAGCCGAATCACTGCGCAAACATCAATAAATAAATAAAAAT